CCCGAATGACGTTTATCGGGGTCGGTGTGGCGTGTATGCTGAATGCTGCGAGCTGGCCAAGGAAATCATTGCTCTCGGGTTCAAAAGGCTCCAATGTCCATCTTCCACCCAAGGCGAGATGCGTTGTGCTGGGGAATAAAGAGAGAATGTGTGCAAGGTCGGCGAAAGTTGGGATATGATAAAGGGTGAGGTGATGGACGGAAGGAACGAGCGATGTAACCGATCCAGGCTGGAGCATTATCGGTGCGTACGGATCAGACGTGGGATAGTCAGAGCAGGTGAATGACAGCGTGCGAAGGGCTGGGGTGTTTAGACATTGGAGGAGATGGAGGGCATAGATGTCACATTCCGCGAAAAGCAGCTCCTCGAGGAGAGGTAGGATTCTTGGGGAGTCTACAGGAAGGCTCGCCTGATTAACATAAAATCGAAGACCGATGAGATGTAGCGAGCGTAGATGTTCCAGTGGCGCGGCGCCGATTGCGAGTGATCGAGTGGCGAACCGCGAGGAAGCGCTGGCATCGAGTACCGTTTCTTCCATAGTTTCCCACTCCATGCGTTCAATCCTCATCCCACGCAATAAGAGCCGTCTCGCAACAGAGCGTTGATTCACAAATCTCGAAGCGCCTTGGCCGTGATGACGTCCGGGGACGAAACGGATGTTGGCTATTGTCTTAAAGTGACGGGAGATGGTGGGGTTTGTTGCGAGGCTATCGCAGAATCTACGACAGAAAACGTCGTCGAGAACCACAGTCAGATCCAGGGCTAGGCCATTAAGGTGCTGTACGTGTTTGGCCAGCCTGGAAACCCACTGCGGTCGAGATATGACGGTTGCGACTTTCCACATCGCCGGAATGTTTTCTACAATGGTTTTCCACCTTTTACATACGCGGAGAATCGTGAGTGGAGAGACCACCCCGCGGTTTAGTTGGATAATCAACTGGCTAGCGTCGTTGGCTGAAGTTGAAAGAATAAGGATGTGTATGAGGATCTCGGTAGGGAGAAGGTCAAAGACCTTGACTATGATGTCGACCAAACATAAGCCAAACCATTAGATGAGATTCGAAAGACCTTTCTAATGAATTAATCTGACCTTGATCATGAAATATGGTTTGATTCACGTTTTCAGTGGCATCATGTTGGATCACGTTCAGTTCTTCGTTGTTCTTGGAGCTATGAGTGGCGGGTAATAAATCCGATTCTCTCGTCGGTGGCAACGGCGTCGGCAGTGGCAGTGGCAGTGGCAGTGGCAGCGGTAGCGGTAGCGGTAGCGGTAGCGGTAGCGGTAGCGGCAACGGTGACAGTGACAGTGAAGTCGACAGCGGTAGCGGCTTGGAGCTGTGAGCGGATATACGTGTCAGATAAGTAGAACAAATACCACGGATTAAGGATTCTCATACGAGTCATGGTTCTGTCGAGATCTACCTACGGTGAGGCAGGGGATGATCGAACAGATGATGCTATTCATAACCAGCAGAAACCGGCATTCAGGTCGTTGACATGACGACGCTCTCACACAATCCTAACTCTCTACACATACGCGTGTCAATGTACAAGGGATATCGCATATATAGTACATACAAGTAAGATGCGAGCACGAAAGGAGAACATAGACCAACAGCGGGGGAGAGTCAAGCAAAATCGATAGAAACGGAATGTCTAAAGGAAAAGCGAACAGAGAACCTAGTCGTTCAAGCACGCGATATTACCTCACCCCATCTCAACTTCCCTAAACTGCATTCTCGCCCGTGGCGGGTTGGGCATCCTCATTTGCCTTTCCTTTCCTCAATCCACTAAACAACGTTCCACCAAATCGCCCACTACGATTGCTCGCGCCTCCTATTGAACCCGAGCGGCGCGGTTCGGTGACATGAGCTGGAACCGGAACAGCAGGTGCAGGTGCGGGTGCGGGGGCGGGTGCAGGTGCAGTTGTTTGAGCAGGGGGTTCTGAAGGAGACAAAGCCTCCACGGGGCTGCCAACGTTAAGAGGGTCGCCTTGGGCCACCGTCTCAGGGAGAGGAACGTTCGTGCTCGGTGGCACAACGACCGGAGGATGGCTGAAGGAGTCTTCAGAGAGTCGTTTGCCAGGTGGTGTAGTTGTGATGCGAAGCAGGGCAGTGTATGCTAAGAAGAAAGGCCATTAGAAGAAAGGCCAAGAACGATGACGAGGCACTCACGTTGACGGCATACAGGACAGAACCATCCCTTCGCTTTACGCTTCCTCCGCCTCTCGGGTGCTGGCGTAGTCACAGTCGGACTCGCAGGCATCGCGGTGGCCTCACCAGAACCGGGTGTTGCAGTAGCAGCATCGGTCGTACTTGGTTCGGTTGTCGCCGCTGCTGGCTCTGCATCATGCGTCAACACCCCACCCGCACCAAACTCGACCATATTTACCGCGCACTCTCTGCATGCGACGAGATGCCTACACGGTAGCAGCACAACCTCCCTTGGACTTGACAAGCACAGCACGCACTCCGTCGCTTGACCTTGTGTGGCGTTGACGTCGATCACAGGCGATGTGGGTGGGTACGTTACTGGCTCTGGTGTTGCAGATTGAGCGATGTTTGACGCGGAAGATGCAAGACCGTATATCTCTTGCAGACGGAAGGTATGAGGGCCAAGAAGAGCCTCACGTTTGACTACTTTGACAACCCAATGGGTGGTCGAGGCAGAACCGATCGCGGCTTCTTCGTCGGATGGTGAAGCGGCTGCTGGAGCTGCGAGCCCGAGTTGAACGATGTGCAAATAGGTCATTTGAGCGTTTCGAGAGGGAAGAGGCTTCCCTATTTAGGACGGTCACGCATAAGTTCTTGTTTCCCAAATCTGTTGTGCAGTGATCAATTTGCGTACCGTCTTCGTCGAGCGCCTCTAAGCGAATCATGACCTTTACGCCGCCTTCCTCTGCCGCGGCTTTACTTGCCATGGCAGCCTGAGTCTCAGGGTGTTGTGAAGCCTCCTCTTCGCCTTCTGCTTGGAGTGCAGCGACATCGGCCGCATCGGTATCTACGACATGAAGGGATGGCCCCATAGCAGCAGGGGTCTGCATCGTCCTGCGACGGAAGTGGAAAGCCGAGAACCTTTTGTTTCGACTCGCCGCTGTTGTACCTGAAGCAGTTGTTGCGGCCGTCTGAGGGCGGGCTGTAGATGAGGTGAGGGTCGCGGCCGTGTCAGAAGTCTGCGGTCTCGTGGCATCATCGGGTGTGCTTCCTCCAGCAGACGCAGCTTCCTTTGTGCTCGTTATCGTTGAGTTATGCACGTTGGATGTGTCGAGTTTCGCTAACTCCAATATCGCAGCATCTTCTAATCGCAAGGACTTTCCGAATCCGCCGTCGCACGTCTGAGTGAACAGGACTGTGGTTGTGAGACCGCGCTGTTTTTCGTCCGAGGATGCTGGGGTTGCACTTGGGACTAGCGCGTGCACCGAGATCGAGCAACGTGCTGCATCGGCGTCGAAGTCGAATTCGATGCCATGCATCTGCGCGGTGGAGGTCGGGTGATCTTCGGCGACTACGGCTGAAAGTGGGGTGAGCTTGATGGAGGGTCTCTTGAGGTTGACAAGGGCTTGTAGAGTAGTAGTTGGGACTACCTCATTGGCCTGGATCAATGAACGTCAGGTCTTCTTACCTAAAGGCCATCTTGACACTGATTACAACACATACCTCCTCTTTACTCCTCCGAATCCACTCTTTGACGACTTCCGGTGTGAGTTCGTCCTCTTTCTCAGCAGTAGCATGCTCTGACGCCCAAGAAGACGTCCAATCCGGTGCAGGGTTACCTCCGACGCCAACGGGAGGACCGAATAGGGTGTCAACCTTGTTCTTCCCGGCGTCAGTAGCAGTTGTGGGCGGCATGCTCAGTGCGTTTGCAAGGGCCTGTTCGCGAGTGGTAGTCGTAATGCCTGTGGTTGATGGACGTGGGACGAATTGAGGCATGGCCAATCGCCGGGTCCGATTCCATGGGCCGTATTGATTGCTGTCTGTGACCGGTCGAAACGTCAATCCGCCCATGGCAGGCAACATTGAACAACGCCATTGCGACGAGGTCTTCAGTTCAAATCGCCTTAGATTATTTTGCGAACTTGACTACGTACACCAGTTACTAAGACTCATTGGCCTGGGTCGCGGTTGCAGGTGCGCGGGCAAAGCTGAGGTGGGAAGATGACGGATCGCGGGATATACACTCCACCCCGTTTGTTGTATAGCCTCGCGTTGCTTAATTTAGCTTAAGCTTTACCATCTGATAGATAGTAAGCCGGAGTCAGGGGTGCAACGTCTGCCCGGATATTGAGGAATATAATATGAGCTCTGATGGCGTCGTCCAATGAACTCCTAGAGCATCGCGGAAGGTGGTTCTGAGAACGTATTCAATTGACAAACCTTGCTCACGAAGCTATTGCGTAAAGGTTGTCAACGCTGCCTCTAGATGACTTCATTCGGTATAAACAGGTCTAATTAGCGTTTATGGTTGCCAATGGAAGTGCAAGAGACTGAAGGTTTGGCCCTCCCGACTCCGCTTGTTGTGACACCTGAAATTGCTGCGCTACTTTATCAGGACCTTTAGTCACACCTCACATAATGTGTCACTCAAAGAGGTTCCGTTTGATGCAAAAAATAAATATTAGAGTCAACTTTAGATATTTATATACTCGATAAATATGAACGCGATAACTACGCACGGATCTTTATCTCAGCAGTAATTGTGATAGAAGGTTCCAGATACACTGCCACTTCACGAAGTTGTCGGAATTATAATTGAAGCGGGTTTATGGACTCTTGTTTTGTGCAACAAGAACAGAGACCAGGTCAGCGTTATTTGAATCACTTGGTGCGACCTTGACGCACGAGAACATTCATTGGAGGGAGTCATAACATTTCTGTTTGGAGAAGGGGGATCAAGAGGTCTTGGTGGCTCCCGGAGGCGATAAACCTTTAAATAATCCCATCGGAAAAGCATCGATCACTTGAAGTATCGATCAAAATCATTCTGAGCCTTGACAAAAGCTGTTCCCCGGCCGGGAGTCGAACCCGGGCCGCCTCGGATGCAATGAGAGAGTCATTGTATTGCGAGCTCGTGAAAGCGAGGAATCCTAGCCGTTGGACCACCGAGGAGACATGGAGTGCTGCCATTATTTTATTTTCCTGACATACAAACTTCCCGGAGAAGGCTTTTATATGCGCAATGGCGCAGAAACAGACAGTCAAGCCGCAAAATTCCAACGCTGAGTCTCTAGACACCAAAAGGAAGGACAAGTACATAAATAAAAGCTGCCTGCAGAGTGACTCCAATTGAGGGTTTAAATAGTCAATAAAGAATTCCTCTGCGATCGCCCTTATTGTAGTCGGTGCATTGAATGTTCGTTGTATAATGGATTGCTGCCTTGATACGTACACATATTGTCAATCGACATTCGAATCCTAACGTCTCGCGTTTCGGCTAAGTAAACTCCGCCACAGACGGCTCAGAGACTGGGACGACGTAGGCCCAGTCCGGATATTATAATATTCCATCCTGATACGTACTTGATCATTGGTCGTGTTTTGTAATTGCAAGCTTTTGAAAGTGCTCGAGTATGTACAATAATAGCTGATTCCGTGTCTAGTACTCTGAGTGTCAATCGTGAAACACATATTCATCGCCGCCATCGGTGGCGCTTCAACGAACTACCTCCAATCCAAATACCTGTCATTGTGATTCCAGTCTTTGTATAATCATCATCGAGAAAGTGTCATGGCCATCACTGTCAGTGACGACATGATCCTGGCCATGGGTTACTCCACTTTCATTCATTCATCTGCTCCAGCTCCAGCCCACACCATTCCATACAGTCGGGAAACTTTTACATGACTTCCGCGGTCGAGGTTCTACAAGGAAGGGAAAGCTTGATAAGCGTAGCCGGCAGCTCTTCGCGGCACCCGCGCTTTCCCTTCGATGACAGTCCACGCCCGGCGCGGCGCTGTACGCAAGCCAGCACGACCCCAGGCTCTAGACCAGTATCGTAGTCAATGTAGAGATGTGTCAAGTTGGGGAGTGGCCATTTGAGCGTTATTGTCCCGTCCACAATGGCTTTGGACGGCTCGGCGAGATACGAAATGATGGTTTCAGCGGTTTGATCGAAGGCCAGTCTCGTGATGACAGGGGAGAACCGGTCCATGAGAAGCGTTAAGACGTGTGGGGAGGTGGGTTGTCTGAAGATCTCCAAAAGAACAGGTAAAGAAAATGAGCTGGGGTGTACGTTATCCAGGAGCCAAGACAGGGCTTCCAACGAGGTACTCTCGTTGAACTGTTCGCCTGAGGCCCGGATACGTATGGCTTGAGCCAATTCACCACACTTGGCATCCTCTTCTTCATCTTCGTCGATCTTTCCGAAGGCTATGTACTCTAGGGTATTATATGCAACGCGAATACTCAGCGCGCTCGCGGCAAGGAGTATGGATGAAAGGCTAGGAATAAGATGATCCATTGAAGCGAAAAAAATGGGTCCAGTAGTCCCAAATTGGTCAACATCGAAGGTCTTGCACAAGGGTATACGCATGTGTCGGAGAAGGTATCCAGTCATCAGCGGGTGAACCTTTAGGGACAGCTGTTGTAGTCGAGAGAGTTCGATTGTGAAGGCCTCTAGTGATACGGGGCTTGGATGTAACCCTTGTGGAAGGTGGAGCTTGAGGGTAGTGAGATCGGGACATGATTGCAAGATGCGCATAACTTGTTGTGCTGAAGGGCTGTCTCCTTCGGAGAGATCAATGTTCAACGTCCTCAGATGAGAGAGGAGAGCGGACTCCCAAGGAAATGCGATATTTACTATGGTGAGGTGACGGAGTCTACTGGCGCTTTCATAGCAGGGGTTTGCCGTCTCTTCGGCCGGTTCCCACATATCCCAAACACCCAAGCTCTCCAAGAGAGGTATCGACTGTTGTGTCGGCTCCTTCAACAGCTCTATCGGTACGTAAGAGATCTCGACAGATTTCCATCGATGAACCTCCCGGAATATCTTCTTGAACCACTGGCGACTCGTGTTGTCGAGATGGAGATGGTTGACGGAAATACGAAGGGAGGCCGGGTATGATCTGGCTAGACATTCGATATTTGCATTATGTGGATGATCGGAGCAAATATAGGCCCACAGCGATGGTGTATTGTGCATGATTTCTCTCCATTCTTGGCAAACGAATACGAGCGCCGCCAGCGTGCGCACCACCGTTCGATCACCTAAGCGCGGCGTCATGATCCGCTCTTTTGGCTTTAAGGCGAGTGCGAAGATCTAGACAAGCAGGTCGTTTGAAAGGCGAGAGATAGGGAGGAGTGTATATCGTATGCAATGGTATTAGACAGTGGTCGGCGAGCGAGGAAGTAAACTAACAAGGATAGTTCAGATCTAGCTGTCTTCAAAGCCCCCTCTGATAAGATACTGAGTACCTATGCCATGTAGTCGTCCATCGTGGCCGATCGATGTTTGATTTAGGAGATAGCAAGATGTTGTCGCCTGGGAACACGTGCCTTGTTTCCCAAAGAACTTACCAACCGTAAATCAACAAATCGGAGAACTATCATTCAAAGGGATAGGACAATGACATGAGCCTGGCCCCAATTGGATGATTTACGGGGAAGACCATCTTCCTGTCCCAGAGAGCCTCAAACGCACGAAGGAAAACGGGTACGGGTTTTCTGAGAGCCACATTAAATAGATTTGAGGCATAAATAATTTTTGTGAGAGAGAAAAACCGAAGCTGTTCTATTTACAGATGTATTGTTGCCACAATCGCACCAAAGATGGTTATTCCAAGAGGAGAAGTGGAGATTTGGGAGATGTGATTGAATGAGGATCCGTTAGAGAGGCTAACTAGTATCGTGCCAAAGATATCGACTCAAAAGGAAGGCCGAGCACACGCGTAATGGCAGGGCTCCGCACGGTTTGGTTGTGCTGGTTGAACCGCGGATTGGAACCGCGGATGCCGGTTCCGGGTTTGAGTCTTTGACCTCTATTCAACCCGCAGATTTCAATGAGCTGGCACTGGCGTCGTTCCCGTCACCGTGACGACGCTCGTTCCGGGTGGATGTATGGTCAACGAAGCAGAGGAGCCAGGTGCTAGTGTCTGGACAGTTGCAAGGCAAGTTGGGTTAGCACCCGCCAGAGTGTTGAAAACTGCGAGATGGCGCGATTGAGACGTCGAAGGTGCGCATTTACAAAAGGAAGTGTTGCCACGATTGTACCGAAGACGGCCCTCGCAAGAAGAGTAGTTGGGGTTTGGAAGGTGAGACTCGACGAGGATCTGTGAGAAATAAGGTAGTTGGTATGAAACTAAAGATATGGACTCAAAAGAGAAGGTCAAGCGTACTAGGATGTCGAACTGGCACCCACCCGCCGCTGTTCTCGTAGCCGTGGCGATACCCGTCCCTGGATACATAACCGATAGAGCGAGAGATCCAGATGTAAGCGTCTGAAAGTTTTCATGGCAAGCCGAGTTAGCGCTCGCCGCAATATTAAAGAATTGCGGGATGGCGCCATTTCCAAGTGTATCCGTGACCGAGACTACAATCGATTATCAGTACTCAGTCACACATGTTCCGACAGCAAGGGGCTCGCACTCATAGTACGCGTTGATCCCGGCTTTGAAATCTGGTGGTCCAATCCTACTTGCTATTATCAAGTCGGATTTAATAGATTTAGTGTGCTCCGCTCGCTAGGATGTCAAAAGCAATGGATTGACAGTGTTTCCTGCCGCAGATGTCACTCGCTTCGGTGGGTACTAAGAGCTATAGTGATCAGCATGTATATTCCGGTGGGAAGGAAGTCGATGACGAAGCCTACGTCTCTCCGAGAAAGTTAATGACGTAGGGACGTTGGCCGCCGGATACCGTCATTGGTATCATACCACACTGCGACCTGCAAGTGACACGATGCTCAGAAGATTGCTCGTTAAGGATGAACGAACGGTGTACCTGAGACTGTGACGTCTAACGTCAATGCTTTCATGCCAGAGCCGCTACGCGTGGCATTGTCGATAGCTTCCTTTACAACATTAAACGAAAGGCTGGTCTACTAGGAATATGAAAATCATAATTAACCTCTTTTGCTAGCACCGAAAGTATGTAAATTGCCAGCTCACTCCACCCATCGCTCCAGCTGAATCGTACGTCGATAAGGGATATGGCCCCCAGGATCAACACCTCAAAGAGGAAGCTGGGCTTAGATTTGGTTGTAAGGTACGCTGGAGCCAGTTAGGCCAACCGCGGCAATGCGGATGAAGGTGTGATATTTTGGATCAGCCGATGGGAAAGTAGATTTGGTGAAATGTTAAAAAAGGGTACCTGTCGAAAAGACCTGAATGCGTCGCATGCTGGAAACTGGGCGTGAATTGGGAATTATCCAGTTGGGCGGGTTGAATCTCAATAGCACGGCGATAACAGAGTGACGAGTATTGAAAACTCGGTTTCTGAGCATTTTCCTGGATATTACGACGTTGCCGTCCATTTCTCAACTCCCTCAGACATGTTCATAGTTGGAACCGCTTGACTAGGTACAATCACGCCCAGCATTCTGTTTCCCGTGCTCCGATCAATCATAGTCGTCATTGCCGTTAGTTTTGACCCATCGAATCCGAATACCCATCATTGAGTCGAATTTGAGCTCACATAAGGATTCGGAGTTCGGGCACCACTCGCATAAGGATTCGGAGTGCGGCTACTATTTCCCCAAGCAGGGGTGCGGCCACCACTCGCATAAGGATTCGGAGTGCGGGCATTATTCGTCCGAGGAGTGCGGGGGCCACTCGCATAAGGGTTGGGTGTGCGACCCCAATTGGGAGTGCAGCCACTATAGTCTCCAAATCCATGCTCATGCTCCAGCTCCAGCCCACACCATTCCTCGCAATCTGGAAACATTTTCATGATATCTGTGCTCGAGGATCTACGAGGGAGGCGGAGGTGGAGCTTCATGAGCCTAGTCGGCAGCTCTTCGCGATGTTCGCGGCTTCCCTGGGGGAACAACCCCCGCCCAGCCCGGCGCTGTATGCACGCCAGTACCACCTCCGGCTCTATATCGACACACCCGTAACAGTAGAGTTCCGTTAAGTTCGGAAGTGGCCATCTGAGCGTTGTAGTCCCGTCTGTG